CTGGATCCTCATCTCTCACCTTATACAAAAGTCAACCCAAGATGGATCAAATACTTAAATCTAAGACCTGAGACCGTAAAGATTCTGGAAGATAACATTGAAAAAACCCTTCTAGACATTGGCTTAGGCAAAGACTTCATTACCAAGAACCCAAAAGCAAATCCAACAAAGATAAATAGATGGGACTTAATTAAATTAAAACAAACTTCTGCACAGCAAAAGAAATAATCAGCAGAATAAACAGACAACCCACAGAGTGGGAGAAAATCTTCACAATCTATACATCTGACAAAGGACTGATATCTATAATCTACAAGGAGCTCAAACAAGTCAGCAAGAAAATAACAATCCCATCAAAAGTGGGCTAAGGACATAAATAGACAGTTCTCAAAAGAAGATACACAAATGGCTAAAAAGCATACAGAAAAATAAGGCAACATCACTAATAATCAGGGAAATGCAAATCAAAACCACAAAGTAATGCCACCTCACTCCTGCAAGAGTGACCATAATCAAAAAATAAAAAAAGAATTGTTGTGGATGCAGTGAAAAGGGAACAGTTTTACACTGCTGGTGGGAATGTAAACTAGTACAGCCACTATGGAAAACAGTGTGGAAATTCCTTAAAGAACTAAAAGTAGATCTACCATTACTAGGTATCTACCAGAGGAAAATAAGTCATTATATGAAAAAGATATTTGCACACCCATGTTTGTAGTAGCACAATTTGCAATTACAAGAATGTGGAACCAGCCCAAATGCCTATCAATCAATGAGTGGATAAAGAAAATGTGGTGTATATATACATATACCTTGGAATACTACTCAGCCATAAAAAGGAACAAAATGGCATTTGCAGCAACCTGGATGGACTGGGAGACCATTATTCTAAGTGAAGTAACTCAGGAATGAAAAACTAAACATCATATGTTCTCACTCATAAGTGGGAGCTAAGCTATGAGGATGCAAAGGCATAAGAATGATACATTGGACTTGGGGGAAAGAGTGGGGAGTGGTGAGGGATGAAAGATTACATATTGCATACAGTGTACACTCCTCAAGTAATGGGTGCACCAAAATCTTAGAAATCACTACTGAAGAATTTATTCATGTAACTAAACACCACCTGTTCCCCCAAAATCTGCCAAAATAAAAAAAAAAGACATTGCTCTTCAATTTGTGAGCAACATGTAATACTTTTAGTATATCTTCAAAAATTTAGTTACTAATAGAAGTTTGATAATGTGAGGATATATATTTAGAAAATGCACGTGACAGAAAGATATTAGAAATATGTATGCGTGAATGACTAATAAAATAATTCGCAGGTTAAAAAGTTCATTCAGTGTATTGATACGTTGTTCCATGTCATCTTCCTTGTTCATTGTGAAAATATTTGGAAATAGGAGCTCAAAAGGCGTCCATAAATTTTGTACCTCAACTGAAAAGCTTTCTGATAAAGCGAAAAATGAGATTGGGCATTTAGAACTAGTTTCTGGACACTATTAGAAACAGAGCATCAAATTCTAGTTCTCACTAAAGCTTTTATAACTGAGCCAGACATTATATTGAGCTTTATGTACAGTTTTCTGAATTTCCTCTCCGAGTTATGATTAAAGTGGGTTATATTCACTGACAAAGCTTTTGAACAGAGCCAGCTCTCTATTATCTGTCGTCGTGCAACTCCTTTGAAGGGAGTGGACAGTTTGTTTGAGGGTGAGGGAGGGGAGTGAGAAGGAAAGGGAGGAGGCAACTTGAGAGATGTCTTAGTCTGCTTGGGCTGCTGCTGCATCAAGATACCATAAATTAGGTAGTTTATAAACAATAGGAATTTGTTTATCACAGTTCTGGAGGCTGGGAAGTCTAAGATCAAGACACCGGCATATTTGGCATATAGTGAGGACCTGCTTCCTTCGTAGACAGACTTCTCACTGTAACCTCTTGTGGTGGAAGGGGCAAGGCAAGTTTCAGGAGCCTCTTTTATGGGGGACCTAATCCCACTCATGAGGGTTCTACTCTTATGACCTAATCACCTCCCAGGGGCTCCACCTCCTAATACTGTTACTTTCAGGGTTAGGATTTCAAGGTATGAGTTTTGGGAGGAATGCAAACATTCAGATCCTAGCAAGGGATGAGCTGAGGGAGAAGGAGAGAAATTGCTGGCCTTACCTGTGAATGCTCTGACTTGGGAGGTGTCAGATTACTAGGTGCTTCCTTCTGGTTTTAATCCTACCAAAAGAGCAAGCCCTCTCATGCACTAACCAAGCACATAACCAGGTTTAGGCTCTGGCCTAAGGAAAGGCTTGGGGGAAGAGAGAGATAATTCAAGCTAGGGCTAGAGGGATGGAACAAGGGGATGCAGGCTGATACAACGGCTCCTTGAATGATTCTAGGTCCTAGTACATAGAGGTATCTGGAAGGTTATGTTATCTGAATCTTGAATAGAATCAGTTACCTGAAGCCAGTGTTACCTTAGGAATTCCGTATTGTGTGATTGAAGAACGCTTATTAGGCAAAGAAGTTCTATTTGTAGAAGAGAGTATTTCCATAGATGACTCCTGTTTTTGATTTAACATAAGGCTATGCCCCATTCCTCTAGGCAGACTTCAATTTCACAGAAGTTTACATTTTATGAGACCCATTGTTTTCCTCCTTAGAAGAAATACTCTAAAAGGTTGTCCTTTAATTGTATATGAAAATAATTTTTGATGATTCAAAATTTAATTGGGTGTTCAGCATTTGCCAAGACTCTATGTGTCTTTTCTCCATCTTGTAGTCCTTAGAATTGTCACTACTAACAAAAGAAAACAGCATTTTCCTTTAGTGACTCAACTTTTTAGAGGCTAGTTTGTGTGTTATTCAGAGTATTGTTTTTTCCTCAGCTTATTTCCGTGTTTGCACATGTACTTGAAGGTTTAGGGTGGAAAAGGAATGCTAATCCATTGTGTGTCTGTCACTTCTAAGTAATAGCTTTGAACCTTCTGATGAGGGAAGTGTTAATTAACTCATTATTGGGAGACATCGTTTATCTTTTCTATTCCCTTTACCTGGATCTCTTACTCCCCTTGGCTGACCCAATTGAGAGTAGGTTGTGCTATTATTAATTTCAGAAACTGTGTTTTTTAAAATGTACTTTCTCTTATGAAACCTGTAATGTAAAAATGATATGTGATATAAACAGGTAAGCTGAATGACCTGGCCAAAGTCACCAGTGACTCAAATAGGTGGAGCAGAAATTTATGACACTCTTCCTCCTGCCAGACTTTCCTGACATTTTATATGTTTCCTCAGCTCATAATGGCCTCAATTTATGTCATTTAAAGATCAAATTTCAAAATACAAGTTACTGTAAGAAAGTCAGTGCCGAGCTAGTGGTCACAAACTGCAAATAATTTCTTGATTTATACTTTCCAGAATTATGTTCCTATTCCATAATGCTGCAGTTACTAGTTCTTCTATGCATTGCAAGAATGCCACCAGTAACAGAAATATAGAAATACCCTGTTAATAAGGAACAACTAGGAGAATTCATTTGCAATTGTTATTTCTTATAAACTTACTCAATTCATTTCTGACTTCTCAGCTAGTGATTAAGAAAAAGCTCACGTGGACATGAAGGGAGAAAGCTTTGCTTTCTACTTGGGTTTCTGTGTACAAATCAGAAATTAGGTATCATGGAATAATTGTTCTAGGAAATTGAGTTGGGAGAATGGTATTATTAGCTATATTAACTAACTTGTCTAATCTTTGTGTGTAGAAACCATGAAAACAGAAAAACATCTTTTGTTCACAAAATGAGATCTTCATAGCCACTGTTTTGTAATTTTGAATCCTGTTGAACAACATTCTGTAGGCTATTAAATCAAGACTTTTGTCTTTTTTTATTTTCAGCAAACTCAAGTGTATATGTAAGTCTTTGGAATGTTGAAGGAGTGACATTCCACAGGTTTCAGATTTTTTTTTTTTTTTTTTTTTTTTTTTTGCTGCCCATTGTGCTAAGGAGACCAGTCA